ACTTCCATTACCACCATCATTACCACCATCACCACCACCACCACTACCACCACTTCCATCACCACCATCACCACTACCACCACCCCTTCCATTACCACCATCATCACCACCACCACCACCACCACCATCACCATCAATTCAGTCCTCTTTAGTGAGTGGAACTTTACACAATCCAGTTTAGAAATGCCACCTTTGATGGTGGACTTCCTACAAGGTTCACTAGCTGTGTAAATATTGACCCCATGGGACAAACAAGCAGGTGAGGGAATAATTGTAATTTCTGCATTCATTAGCATATAATCCAGACCTGCTGGGGGATACATAGAATCATGTTCTTGCAGGGAAGGCTGACTGGAGGAGACAGGTCAGGAGACAGTTTGATAAGAGCCCTGTGACACTGAGGTCTCATTTCACTGGTGTTGAACCAACTCTTTTATTGGGTAGCCTCACTTGAAAGGTCATTCCTTACATTTCTTAGGATTGTTTGGAGTATTGGCTGTAGGGGTGATCATTCAAGAACACTATAGTCAGTTAGGTCTATTCAAAACTCTGGCAATCAAATGGGCACATTGGGATTATCAGATCATGAAAAATACGAATGCTTACTATGTTAATCACTAGTACAGTGTTCAGGTTTATCACGATAGTCCTGGAGAAATGGCTCAGCAGTTAAGAACACCGGCTGTTTTCTAGGGGACTCATGATCAATTCCCAGAACCTACATGTCTCTTCTCTAACTCCAGTCCCAGGGCAGTTGATACCTTCTTTTAGCCTCTGCAGGCACTGCGTGAACATGGTAAATAGTTGTGCATGCAGGCAGAATACCCAGACATATAAAAATTAAGCTTATCACAGTGGTCCCCACATCTGAGAGGTTAAATGTTACTGATGTTTCAAGTAAGAGACCCACGAGGTGGGTAAAGCCACTTGCCATGTGAGCCTGGTGACCTGGGTTTGATCCTGAAAGCAATGTAAAGAATAGGATGCCGTGGTGCCCCTCTGTCACTTCTCCGGAGATGGGGGCGCAGAAGAGCCTGCCAGAAGCTGAGGAGCCAGCTGGGCTGGAGTATGCAGGACAGAAGCGAGAGACCCTGCCTCAAAAACAAGGTGGAAGGGGAGAGCTGCCTCACAAAAGTTGTCCTCTGGCCTACACACAAATAAGTAAATTTTACAAAGAATTCAAGTCAGTTGTCATAGGGCTCATGCCTATCCCAGTCCTGGGAGGCTGGAACACCATCGCTCTGAATTCCAGGACAGGCTGTGGACAGTATGTCTCAAAGGAAAAACAAACAAAAACAAATTTTAAGGTAAAGTTCATCTGTTTAATGTGTGACATGTGTATCAGGAGTGGGGCTGATGTTCAAGGGCCTCTCTGTGGGCTTGTGTTACCCCCTTTCTGCTGGCTCGGGTGTGTGTAAGTAGGGAATGGTGTGAGAGGTCGCTGAAGCTGCCATGTGCGTGGGTGAGGGGTGGGAGGTTCTTGGTGCTTTACCAAGAACCAGGGCAGTTTCCCTGGAATGACTGTTACAGGGACAATGCCCAGCTGGAACGGAATTCGAGTCCAAGTCTCACAAAGTTGCAGGAATATCCCAGAGAAGACGTGGCAAAACCACTCCGGATCCCCCCAGCATCCCTCGTGGCGTGAAGGTCTGCTTGGGCGCAAGCCCATATGCACATACCTGATTTCTGCCATTCAGTGTTCATGGACCCCACACAGTGTGTCACTGACACGGTCTTCCCTGGGAGGCTTGTGTTCTGAGTTCAGGGTTGTTGGCTATACAGTTTCATACCCTAGTTTTAAAGTGAAAGAAAAATACTCAAATGAAGATAAAATTGCGCATGGCAGATATGCTCTAGGAAAGTTATGTATAAATCAATTATATATTAAAAGTACCATGGGAAATCAGGTTTTTAAAGGTGAATGTTCATGAATAATTCCATAAGGCAAATAACCATCGCTATCTTACCTTTCAGGCGTATCCGAATTTTCAAATACCATATCATCATAAGGTTTTATTAAAGTGAGTTATATCAAAAATAGAGATAAATAGAAATCACTTATTCTTAGCTTCTTTTATCTAGAGCACATGGAACTTTTTATAAATATTATGGTTTATGTTTTCCTAAAAGAAACAATTTTCTAATTTTGTACTTATAAGAGGAATGTAATTTTCTGACCTCATAATAAATCAATTAGGAATGCTTTTTAACAACTCAAAGGTAGGATGAGGAGTTGGTATTTACTTATATTGAATATTATGTAAATGAGCTCAGAGAATGTCACTGAGCATTTCTGGGGCATTCTTCTCAATGACAGGGACACATCCAACCTTAAGGAAAAGGAACAAACCACTTTATCTGCTTACATGCTCAGTGTCAGAGAAGGGGTGTGTGTGTGTGTGTGTGTGTGTGTGTGTGTGTGTGTGTGTATGAACTGCAGCTTCTATAGACTGCTCTCATGATGCTGGCATTCTAAGGTGAAATTAGGTTCAGTAACAAATGCCCTTTGTGGATTCAGTTCTCTTCCAGATCCAAAATTCCCTGCTTGATGTGTGTCTTGTTCAGGATTTAATAGTTAATCATAATACTTTCAGTGAATGGTTTTAATTTTATGTTTCATTTTATATTAACAAACAAGGAGAAAACTTCTTAGGGAGGGAAATAAAAATAAATGTTTCCAGTTTATTGCTCTGCTGGGGGGAGGTTACTGACTTCTAAGTTGTGTGTGTTCATGTCAGTCTTTTGGATGTTCTATGTAAGTATATTGAACTGCATATACATATCGCACATATAATAGTTATTTCTGAAAAGGCACCGCTGACCTCTTGGGTGAGGTTTTAAGGCTGGGTCTCTGTGGCACAAGTGGCAAGAAGACTCCAGCCCTCCCCGTGCACACTGTTTCTTGCCCTGTCATCACAGTTCCGTCCTGGGTGGTGGCGTTAGTTTGTCACTGACCTTGGAGAACAGGTAGTACAAGAGTTAGCTTGCCACTTCTGTAGGCAGCTCTTCAAGGCCGGGGATCCCGGGGTTCCCCAAGCCTGCAAGGCCAGCCATCCTGTTGGAGAGTTGCAGAGAGAAGTTAGAAGCAGTGGGGTGGTGGGCATGCAGTTAGTTCTCTTGGACCTGGTTAGAGGTCGGGTCATCGGCTTTCTAGCTAGGCATCTCGCCCCACCCAGACAACGCCAGCTGTTGGCCGAGGCCTGTGCCTAAGTGAGCTTCTGCCCACGAGGGATCAGTGCCTTCCTCAACGCAATGGCAAAACTCATGGTTAATGTCTTCCATGGTCTCCATGGCTTTGATCATCCTGAGTACCCTGGAAATAGTTTTTGAGTGAAAGAATGAATAAACCAACCTCATAGTAGAATTTCCATTCAGAGCCTCTGGGATGTGTTTTAATAGGTACTAGATAATCACAGTATCTCTGCCATGAAGTTTCACCACAACCCTTCAGGTTGTGAGTGATGCCTGCATGAGGTGGATTTGACTCCATGCTCTCTGACACAAGAGGGCGCCTTGGCTTTACTTGATGAGTTTCCCCACTCTTGGCAATGGCTGACAGAGACTAAGTGGAGAAATAATACGTCTACTTAGCTCTCTCTAAATCTTCCCACATCGCCGGCCTTCCAACATCTGCTGCCTGAAGTCTTTCCCAGTGAAAGCGACTAGAGGTAAGTTTTTCACTCAGCCACACCTCACGTAGGAACACAGCCCTGTGTCATGCTGTTGAATCTGGAGTGTCACTTGGAACAACCCCATAAAGATTAACTGGAGCCTCTGGCTATCTGTGGCAGAATAGTCCCAGGATCCAGAGCTCTGGAGGTACTACAATCCATGGGTGTTCAAATCCCTTAGATAAAAATGTCTAATCTTGGCCTATAATAGCTCACATCTTCATGCCTGCCTTGCCATCTCTAGATGGTTCTCAGCCTAGGTAAATGTTGGCAAGTAATTGTGGCATGTCATTCTATAGGCAGTGATGACAATGAGGAAAATAGTCTGTATGTGTTCAGCAAGACCCATTTTTTTTTTTTTCTGGAACATTTCCATTGTTTATTGGTTGAATTTACTGAGCACCAACCCACAAGAGGGCCAACACTACTTACTTTGGTTATAATGGCAGTTGGAGCAGAAAATAACGCTTGTGAACTTAATTATGCTTTGGCAGGTCATTAAATGAAATCTTAAAAATAGCACTGAGGAAAATCGTGAGCCAAGGTGTATGTCAAGGTTTCCTAAAACAAAACAAAATAAAACAAAAACCAAAACCAAAACAAAACAGAATGGCAAACATTTTTCAGTCGAGGTTGGTGTATTTTGTATTAGAAGGGCTACAGTTACTGGGGAGAAGCCAGAAGCCATTTGTGCTTTTTTGCCACAGCAATGCAAGGCTGACCTTTGGCATGTAATGTGTAAACAGTGTCATGTAGGAAGGCTGGAGCTTGGCTCTTTTTATTAAAATGGTATCGACCTCACCGCCAAAGTCACCCTCCCCGATGACTCACTTATTTTTATGCCGTTGGTGGTTTCTGAATTAGCAGTTGCTGCACGACTGTCCATCGCTGGTGGATGGATTTAGTTACAATAAAGCAAAACCTGCCCTCTTGTGTTCGATTGGAGAGTTGCACAACGTTGTTTGAATGTTCCTGCAGCGCTGGT